GACTGCTAAGGCTGTACACATATCAAAATACACACACAAAAAAAAATCACGCATGCTAGATTACAAGGAAAAGAAAATCCACTCAAAATGTCCTGCTTGTAATTCTTCATCTTCTTCTTATTATTCTCTTGCCAGCCTACAACAAAAATGGCTTGGTGTATTGCACCCAAACCTTTTGTGGCATACTAAATAAGGTACTGTGAAATTTATAAGGGTATTGACAAGTCGATTTGTTTCTTCTATATTTTACATACGCTAAAAAAACATTATACTTCTTGTGTAAATTATGTTATCATCACCCCTTGAAGTTATATTTCTTCAAATGTCTGGTGTTACTTTAAAAAGCTTAATTACAGGTGAAACAGGAATTACCAGCCAATAAAACAGGCCTGCGATGGTTTTGTTGTCTTGAAATTTTTACATGTTCTACGATAATTCCTGTACGCTGAATCCGAAAATGGTATCCATTTTTCTCCATCACGTATAGAGTTTTCACAAAACGTCATAACGCAATAATAAAAGAAAAACCATAATACGTAGTTTGAGACTAAAAGACGTAGACTTAACAAAAACATCAGGATGAATGAGGATGCACATTCGTTTGATATCAATGATCTTCCCTTTTTTTCAGATTGTTTGTATTTTTGTTAACAAACATAATAATAAAAAAATGTGGTCAACGAAATAATTATTTGATCTAAGTAAGAGTTATTTTTCTTCCCGATTTGTAAAAAAATTCTTTCGTGGTAGAAAAAAAGTGAATACTAATTTCGAAATCTGCGTAGCTGAATTACGGAAAATCCGTTATTAAAACCAAAATAACTTTAATGAAGTTTAAATTCGCAGGCCTTTGTGATAGATGAACATTAGATGACTGTAACATGTAGATACTAAATGCTTTGTGCGCTCTAGGGAGCTAATCCTAATATTACGTACAAAGTGAAGGAGTAAAAAAAATCAATACATATAATATTAAATTTTATTACAGACATTCATAGAGGAATTAATTTTAAAAATATGAACAAAGGCATGCGGGTGCAGAGAGCAGCATTTTCTGGCTTCCACCAATCACAAAAAAGCAATAAAACGACCATCCTGAGTTTTCAAAAGAATTCAGGCTAGCAAACACTTCAAAATAGGTAAACTTTAAATAAGTAATAACGAAACAATGCCATGATAATATAGGATCATAGGTTACTACGATAGCATTGCAATTTTGATGTGAAGGTTTAAATCTGTAAATACTGAGCTTCTAAGACAAACTAAGTATCAAATTATGGCTTGAATTTTCTACTTCTAAAATTAATATTTATGTAGGGTGTTATACTTAATAACATTTTTATTTAATTTTTGCGTTAGCTGTCTCGTGCTATACAGAATGTACTTGCTTAGCAGTTATGGAAAACCACGAGGCTTATCTAAACCCATTAAAAGTTTTTCTTTTCCCAAAATTTGTTGATTAGTGACCACCCTCTAAACCAATCATCCCTAAGTACACACACCATTTAATCTTTTCCTCATGCAGCAGTTGTTAACTTCTCACATTAAAAATATATTACTTGAAGATAATGCAACTTTACTTTCCAAACACTAGTTTTATTGGTTATGTAAAAAATAAAATAAATAAACCCCCTAGAGAATTTCTTTTTTAAATCTTTAATGTCCTTTATAAGATCTGATATAATTTAGGAAATTATGGATACAATTTAGATAAACGATGAAATACAAGTAAATATATTGCTAGCTGGTGTAGTTGTATCCCATGTATAAGAAAGGTGTCTGGGATAGAAGGGTTAACAATGCCCTCAATACATTTAATATATTTCTTCCAATCTTTACCACAAGAAAGAGCATATGAACTATTTTCCACTAAAACTACAATAGTGATCTGTCATTTATTGGTTCGTAGGCATTCTACCAGTTTGCCAATCAATAAGTGGATAACGAACACTCAATTCAATATAAATTCAGCTTATTTTGGCTGACCATTATTATGACCATTAGTGCATCCACCAAGATATCGAATGTTATTCAAAGTTTTGAATGTGAGGATTTCAGTATCTTTCTCGACCCGGTAACATACTAAATAATAACTTTGTCTGTTACTTGCACCCACAAGGAAATATTCTTAGTTATTTTTGTTTAAGTTGAGATTGGATTTTGCTATCTGTATTTTCACCGAGTTACAAGATGCAAAGCAAAACCGAAAATTCCACAGATAGATATTACTAATACTACTAGTAACAGTATAGCTCAGTTATAGCAATATAGAAGTATGTAAAATACAATCAAATGAAACTTTGTATTTGAGATCTTATCATACTGTAGCTGATTTTTTTCTTTGTATCAAATAGACTATTATGAAGTTTCCCTCACTATTAAAATATACACAAATACAATATGATAAAACAAACACAGTTATACTTTGAAGTAAACATCTCAGACTGAAGGGTCAGTTATAGCGGAACCATAATTTACGTTCCCACTGAACTAAGCTTTAAAAAAGGCTTAACCTCAGTTGCACAATTACTGCTCATAACTGACATCTATCGGAAGTTTCAATTTTAAAATATCCAAACACCTGTGTAATTAATACCATTGCCATTAATATTCCACAGTGTATGTTACTAATTACTTAGCACTTGAATACTTGACAAAAAATAAACGGATTTAGTTTAGTTTAATTGTACTGCACAGAAGCAACATTCAAATTCAATCCAGATAACGAGTTTTAGTACTTGAAGGAAAGGCATTCTGAGCAGGGATTTGTGGTAAACAAGAAAAAAGTTAAATGTTATTCTAATATTCCTCTGGTGTAAAATTCATAAACTAATTATAATGATTGTTTGAAAAACATCTGAAGTCAAGCGTGATTTTACGTTCTGCTTCAAAACACCCAATGTTACGTCAGCTTAGGCGTTTCACACAAGTCAGTTAAGTTCTATGTTTAATATTTACGGTAAGGTTGTGGAGATCAGATATCAATCATTGTTATGGTTAGTAGCCGTAGACGATAACCGAAGTCTCTAATTATTAATTACCTGCTATTGTTTTATAAACAGTTAGAGACTTACGTGATTGTATAACATACTAACCTTGACAACGTACAGTTCTACACGTACAGTTGTTTTTATGTGTATATATTTTATATAGCATAGGAGTATTCTGTTCTTATAAGAAACTATATCCCATCAGAACCAACATAAAACTCTTTCAATACTTATCTTTATTCTCCTTAAAAGTTCGATTTAAAATTACTTATTAAAATCATAATAACAACCATTACCAGCATTTGATCTTATAAGTTATCACTTCAATTGGTAAAATTTGGATTTTGAAAAATAAATTGACATCCATCAGAATGTTTCAACAGGAAATCATATGTATTACATATATGTATTACACTCAGATCTTAATAGCTCAACAATTTTAAAAACTTCTGAGTAAAAGCCCCTACTTTATCATTTCAGGTGGGATTTTTGGATATTTGCATTCCGAATTACAGTAAGCAAATCAATAGTCAATTATTCGTCGAATCACAGAACTGAGACTTTTTGTTCGTAAAACAGCTTCTACTGGAGGTATGGCAATTACTGACACACCAGTTAAAGGAACAGGGATTTCTTTCGGTTTTCTGATGCTTTCGTCATCCAACATGAAGAGTTCAGTTTTTGAAACTGGCCCCATTCTTTACTGCTTATACCTCCAATAACATAGATAAAGGCTTCTGCAAAGAGCGTCAGCAACAACTTTATTAGTTAGGGTAAAAAAGTAATGCCTTCTTACTTTATATTCTGTATGCAAACTTAAAGAATTATCAGTAGATATAAAAATTCCAAACAAAAATTACAAATTTTATGTTGATTAATTTAAACAAGTACTTGAACATTACAATACTTACAAGGAGTTATAACAACTGAATATCGTCTAAACTTTCAGGAACTGTCTTGCTAAAATAATTATATAATGACAGTATGTATGTAACTTATATTGTAACTACTGATATGAAATATTCCTCATGAGTATGCCAAATCTAGCCCATTTAGTTTCTATTTATCGCGTATTTCATATCGGCTAGATAAGACAGTGGATTTTCTAATTTTAACACTAAAACATTTATGCAGGAAAGTTGTTTGTATATCAAATTTAATTGTTACCGAGTGACATCATAAAGTTTATTTTGCATATTCTAGTTTAAGTATATATAAATCTAATTAGATAAATTGTGATTTACACTTAATGGATTATATGGTATAGTTGTTTGTTTCAAAGAGATATAATTTTCTAATATGGTTGATTGGGGTTTATTAGCGCAAAGCAAAATGATTGATCTGCTCTTCAACTACAAAGGTATCTTGTTACTAACGTCTTTAGTAAAAAATTAATGAAATATTTTTTATATTTACGTTGTTTTATTATTTCGTACCAATGTAAAGAGTAAAAAAATGAAATCTTTTAGCGAATTACGTAATTCTGATCCATTTAATTATTCAACATGTTTATAATAGTGACTAAACATTACTGTGTTCATTGTTGTACAGTAATTAATATTAATATCCTATGTTAGAAATACAACACTTTAGAAGGGAAGTATTTACCAAAAGCAACAACCCCAGCAGAATGTCTCGGTATTTGTAGCTCGGCTCTATTTTCCCATTCATTACAGTCCATATTATAAATATCGAGCAATCCTGTGCTCACTAGGTGGTTTTTATTGGACCGAGAAACACAACAACCGCCGACAACCCACAGTCTATCTTGTGCAACTACGGCTGAGCAGTAAGCCCTAGCCATTGGCAGCGGAGGACGAGATGACCATCTAGGTTATAAAATATTGTATTAAGTCAAATATGAGAGTAAAAATGTCAAGATTATGTGAACTCATTTTGTTACTCGATACTTATATATTTGATATCAATTTATAATGAAAACAGAAAAAATAGTGATTTTTCTATAATTTGGTGTTTTTCGAGCTCTTCAGAAAACAGGAAATACACTTCTTCCAAGGAAAACCCTAAGAACTGGCTTAATTTTAAACAAGAATATTTAACCATGTAACATACAGTAGATAACACTTTTTAATCAATAAATGTATTATTGTTAAGTTTTTGTGAAAGAACAAAATGAACATATCAAACTAGTTTGTGTAATCTTTTCCATCCTCGAGTTACCTGAGCTGAAGAAAACTAAAACGACTTGAAACTGTAGTTCTTAACTGACTAAAAACAGATACGTCATACTTGTTGCATCATGATATTTGTAAATTAAACCCCTCGTTGGCTCAGTTTTTAACCATCTCAAATCACGTTAAAACATTCTCAGTACTAACACGTGATGAGAACAGATATGTATTCCTATACTGTATGATATAAGTCAGTTTTCTTAACCTGTATAGTGATGATTCCTGTCATTATTGGACAGGTCTTGTCGGCATTAGATATAGTATCACTATATTTATACACTCTTCTTTACTTTTACTCAAAAGTTTATTTATCATTCTTACACAAATGTTATTTTTATACTAATTGTTTCACAATAACTTACATTTTAGTTACTGGATCATAGCACAACACGCTATCAAGAACTGGTGAATCAGAATTTTCTGGAAACGACGTCAACCCATCAAGTACTCAGATAAATCCCATGTAGGTCACTACACCCAGACCCATGCGTGGTATGGGCATTGGTCTCTCCATTTCCCAGGCGTCTATTTCCGGTGTGTATACTTCCATAGACGAAACCACTCCATTATTAAAGAATATTCCGTTTAAGAATTTTATGTAATATACAAACAATAAAATCATGCTAAAGAAATGAATCTTTTTTTTTCATTTTGTGCATAATACAAATCAAAATTTCATTTACTGATGTTCGCAACATCATTCATATAAAACCAAAATCTGGTGTAATAAGTATGCAGGATATTGTAAATTATTTACACAATCAGTTAAACTTTACGATGTTTGTCTTTACTATACAGTTCATTTGGGATTAACAAAAAACAAAGAAGAACATTTTCCATCAATACTTTACTCATCATGATTAAAAAATTAAATATTGTGTCTTACTTCATGCATGTGCTACTTACCTCCCTCTGCTATCACGACCACCGATAGCATAAATACGGCCACGAATAGTTACAACACCATGGTGTGCTCGAGCACAGATCATGTCCTGTTTACTTTCCCATTCTTTCGTGGTGAGGTCAAGTACATAAGTAGTTCCTGTCGGTATCATTTCACCACTCTTACTTGAATCTGGATCGTATCCACCTGGATTGAAAACAAAGTTGAGTGTTATAAATTAGTTGCGTACATACCGTCATAGCATGGCTACAGGGCCCGGAAGTCAAAAGGTCCCAAATGTCATGCATCTGTCTTTTTGAACATTTCTATCTATGCAATAGGTACAGTTCACTTGTTTGCAGCATTTTAGTTATTTTGCTTTATATGGTCATGTGTATGTATATGTTATTTATAAAAACAGAATTAAGTAAATTAAACATTGATAACTTGTCCTACCATATAAGTATTCTATAATTTAATATTTCATAGGATTAAAAACATTTCAACAAAGTCAGTTACAATTTTGTTTTAAAGCCTGTTTCCTTAACATTTTCTCTTGGAATTTTTTGTTGTTATTAAAAGTCCTTGAATTAGTTAGTGAAGTAAATTTGAGGAATAGTAAATATATATTTGTTAATAAAGGAAATGTAAAGATCTTGATATCCAGCCAAGTTATGTATTTTGATTATCAAGTTCTACATAATTAGTAGTTTGGTTTCTTTGATGAATAGAGAACGTTTGTAGTAAAAATCTAATACGTTGAATTGACGTTGGTGTTTACTGTTTTTTTTTAATATATCAATGTAGAACAATGTATTAGGGGGAGTGTAAAGTCGCCATCTCTTTATATAGAAATTTTAATCTCAGAAATGCACTGGTGAAAGCTAAATTTTGATGAGGAAACAAATTGGTATTAACACGTTAATGTAAAGTATTATCTATAGGTTCAGTGCCTTGCCAAAGTATTCACCCCTACCAATAATATCACATTTTGATGAAATACAAATAACGTAAAACATTTTTTAATGAACTTGTTCTAATTCAAAACTCTAATGATCAAACTTAATACTGTTACGTGTGGAAGAGGTTGAATGTCAGCAAAACTAGCAAATAAAATATATAAACTGAAATTTGCTGATTGTATGATTATTCAGACCCCTACATCACTACTTAGTGGAAGAACCTTTGGTAGCAATAACTGCTGTAAGTCTTTATGGATAGGTCTCTACCAGCTTTGCACAATGGGATGGTGTAATTTTTGCCCATTATTCCTGGCAAAATTGCTCCAATTCTGACAAGTATATTGAGGATCATTTATGGACTGCAATCTTCAAGTTTCGTCAATAATGTTATATTGGATTCAAGTTAGAGCTTTAACTGTTTTGTTTGAAACCACTCCAGTGTGGCTTTAGCCTTATGGTTCGGGTCACTGTCCTGTTGAAATGTGAATTTTTGACCCAGTTTTAAATTCTTGGCTGACTCAAGCAGGTTTTTCTCTAGGATTCGCTTGTATCATGCACCATCCATCTTTTTCTCAATCCTGACAAGCGTCCCAGTCCCTGCTGATGAGAATCATTCCCATAACATGATGCTGCCACCGCCATGCTTGACAGTTTGGATAGTGTTGATTGGGTGATGTGCGATGTTGGGCTTGCATCAGACATAACTTAGACCAAAAAGTTAAAGTTTTGTTTCGTCTGACCACAAAACCTTCTACCACATGTCTGCAATATCATTTATATGCTTTGTCACAAACTCCATATGAGATTTAAGATGATCTTCTTCAGTAATGGTTTCTTTCTTGCCACTCGCCTATACAGGCCAGCTTTGTGTAGGGTCTGAGATATTGTTGATGTATGAACACTGACTTCCATCTCAAACATGGAACTTTGCAAACCTTTCAAAGTCACTGTTGGCCTCACAGTGGCATCCCTAACCTGGCTGCTTAGTTTGAAGGGTGGCCTGATCTAAGTAGTGACTAGGTGGTATGAAGCACATTCCACTTCTTAATGATGGACTTCGCCGTAATCAAAGGTATAATCAGTGACTTTGAAAATTTATTGTAACCTTCTCCTGATCAGTGCTTCTCTTTATCCCTCACCTGTTTTGAAATCTCATTATCCTTCGTGGTTGGTTATTGTATCACTAGGTGAGTTACGGCTTGTTTAGATGCATTTACTCTGAAGTCAAGTTAAACCACTTTGATTACACACAGACAGAGACCATTACACTAATTTTGTGACCTTTCAAACTAATCTTTTTCACCTGGATTGATTTAGGGTTGCCATAACAAAGGGGTTGAATACTTATGTAATTGAGAGTATTCAAAATTTCTTTGAAAACCTAACTTACTTACATAATATCAGCATTTTTTTAGCTTTCTCAGTTTGGAGTAGATTGTGCAGATTTTGCAAGCTCAGACGACAACAAAATGTGGAAACTTTACGGGTTTTTTTGTCTGAATACTATGGTAAAGCACTGTATATAATATAAAACTTTGAATTAGAGTATACTTCATAGTAATAAGTTCATTAAAATAGATTTATAGTAAAGTGGTTTAATTAAATTTTGAATGTAACTCAGTAACATACACATAAAAGGCTTTAAAAATGGCGTCACCATTATAGGGTGAAAAGTCAATTGTTGAAACAAAGTCATTTTCTTCAGGTGAATATCCCTCGTTTTCTCCATTATTTGGAGAAATCCTCATTTGAAAAATATGACGCTGATTTCTCAATATATATATACAGCTTAATGTAATAGTATCTGTGGTATATCCAAGTGTCCTAACATGTGATTAGTCAAACAGAACAAGTCATCATGTACATTCCCCAAAGTGATTCGATCTAATATAGTCATAGAATATTTCTTAATTTAGAAACTCTACAAAACATACCTTGCACTTGAAACGTGACTAAATTGACTATTCACATCATGCTGGATATTAGACCTTTTGACCCTCTTTTATTGCTTAAAAGACAGACAAAATGATCGATAAATATGATATCTAGGAAATACAAAGGATCATTTATAGTAGTTGTATGTTACTGAACTTTCACTTTATATAATGATAGAAAATACTAAGTATGTATTCATGAAATTCTATTTCTCAACTCTTGTCAGGACATGTTCAATGTGTACATTTAGGTTAGTGTACACTTGTTGTATACTTTCTACTCAATTAGATAGACTCCATGAACTTATTATCCACATTTCTAACAAATGTGTTTATCCATCTAATACAAATCTCCATATAGTTATGCTATCATCAATGTATGTAAGTAAATTCACAAACTCTAAATACAAATGTTGTCATACATACTGAAACATATATTGAGAAAAACTTTAAGTATAAGATAGGGGATTATGATCTTAGATTAACTGCTTAGATTTATAACTAATTATTCATAGTAATTTTGGTTTATTTATATTTACAGAAATACATGTATTATTAGGCGAGAATATCATCACAGGTCAAAGTGTATCACATGTTTAGGTCCTTGTAAAAGGGAAGTTATTTTCTGTTACTTAACGAGACAAGTAACACATCTACTGAAAACATTATGAACAAAACTTCAGGTATTACACCCCCCCCCCCCAGTGGTACAGCAGTATGTCTGCGAACTTACAACGCTAGAAACCAGGTTTCGATACTCGTGGTGGGCAGAGCATAGATAGCCCATTGTGCAGCTTTGTGCTTAATTACAAAGAAACAAGGTATTACATATACTACAAACATGTACCCCTTCAGCATTTGATTCAACATAGCTTTTATAATTTCATACACACAATCTAATCATTCATTTTCAGATTTTATGTTATGAAAATTTAGTATTATCTTTACCATTTTTCTGTAGAACTTTCATTTTGAAGCAACTTTTAACTTTCTGACAATTGACATTTATAAAACTGTATAACCTTTAACTGTTTTGCTTTTTGCAGCAACTAATATACAGAATGATAATATAAATAAAAACAATGTTTATCATTATAGAATATGTTTGACAAACAAAATAAAACTGCTCACTGTACTCAGATTTTGTATGTCACTGAATTTAAAAGTTTATTGTTTATTGATCCTTTCACTTTACATAGTAAAACAGAACACTAAATGTGTATTCGTGATATTCTATTTCACAAGATTTGATGAGTCATGTTCAATATGTATATTTCAGTTAGTGTACTATTATTGTTTATTTTCTACTTAATTACACTCCATGAATTGATTATTAACATTTATAACAACTGCGTTTAACTAGCCATTACAAGACTCTATATTGATTTCTTGTGTTTAAGAACTTAACAGTCAGTAAAAACGAATTTTTCTATTCTTTCACTGTACATAATGATACAAAACGTGAAATGTATATTTACAACATTCTCTTTCTTGAGATTTGACAGTCCTGAAAACGAATATTTAATTTCATTGATCTTAAAAGTCAGTAAAACATATGTATTGATTTCTTTGCTTTACTTAACAATACAAAACACGAAATGTACATTCATACTATTGTATTTCTTAAGATTTGATAGTCCTGAAAACGAATATTTAATTTCATTGATCTTAAAAGTCAGTAAAACATATGTATTGATTTCTTTGCTTTACTTAACAATAGAAAACTGGAAATGTACATTCATACTATTGTATTTCTTAAGATTTGACAGTCCTGATGGATCACATAAAACATATCGGACACTCATCAATGTCATTAGATCTATAAAACTCACTGATATCATCTTCATATGGTACATTAATTACCAGAATATACAATACACTTACAGTTCATGACTAAAATGGCAAATCAGTCTAATATATTTTATAATATAAAGGAAGGGAATTCTTACACACGTTTTGTGTTTGGGTAGAAAAATAAAGTACATAAGAGCTTTAAGTTGATTCATTATAGCTAATGGTTGTTCATTTATGCATTGATCCTAACTTATCATTAGGTTCATGTTTCATGCCCAACATAATATGTATTTTTCAAGAAGTAACACAAGATGAAATAAAACTTTGTTTATTAGCAATGTTTTGATCTATCATCGAGATGCTTTCTATCCTACTGACCTTTGTTCATTAGTCACATGGCTGTCAATGGCCACAACTTGAGAAACAACCTGTTCTATGTCACGTAATATTTGAATATAATGAAAAACAAAAACTAACATATTTCGGATTCATCTGATATATAAAAATACAGAACATTGTTTGCAACTGTTAAAATTAGGTTCTTCTCAAATAGATATTGAGAATTTTTAGATTTTATAATATTTATTGAAATTAAA